GTGTGTTCTGTGTTGGGGAACAGAAGCAGTGTCCCAGCTGTAGGTGTTTCTCTTCTGGGAGCATGTTCAGATCTCAGCAGCAAACTAGGAAATGAAGCTGAGGGGAACAGGTACTTTTAAATTTTAATTTAAAAACCTTAATTCGCATACAAATGTGACTAGGTACCTTTTGAAGTTCAGAACACTTGAAAGATAAAGGCATTACTTTCTGAATATGTTCATATATTCATTTGCACGGGCACAGGATAGGGCAGAACATTAAGGACTCGTGTGAGCTTTGGGTCGAGAGTAGTGAAAACTCTGCTCAGCCCCCTTCTTGGGAGCCTGCATGAGCAGGAGAAGGGGAGAAAGGGTGGAACACAGATTCCTATCGCGAATTCAATACAGCATTTGGAGATGGAGACAGGACTTTGGAATCTGTTTTTCTGGCCTCGAGTGTTTCACTTGGCCACTCTTCTCTGGTGACTTCTTCAGAGCTCGTGGGTGCCCACCTGTCCCCACTGGTGTCCAGCGTTCCCTCCCCTGCTGCTGCTGCTTCCACCCTTCATACCCTCTAGTTAGCATCATCATTAGAAAATGAAAATCTGTGATTTCGTGGGGAACCGTGTCCAGCTGCTCAAACCCACCCCGTTTCCATTTTTAGCTTTTCCCCTACTTAAAAATAAACAGCATCGGGTCGCACTTGCCAAGCCTCTGTCGCAGGCTCCAGCAGCCATTCCTTGAGCCATCTGCTCCCCCAGATGCTTAACTGCCCCCTCCCCATCTCAGCTCTTCTACGGTCAAGGGGCGGAGCTCAGCGGCCTTCAGCTCTGCACCTCCGCCTGCCCACGCCCCCTTAAGTTCTCAGCCTTGCTCTAACTCATGTTCTGCAGCCTCAACCCCAGGCACCAGCTTGCTGGTCCAGACAGTCTTGGTATTTCCAGGGACAGAATGTTGGCTTGAAAAGGCAGGGGCGTTTCTATGGCGACGTGAGTCAACATCTCACAGCAGGAAGTGCAAACTAGTTTGTCAGAATTGCAGTTGAATGCTAAGAATGACTTGGTTTGTTACCTTGGAAGTCAGTGTGTTAGAGAACTCTTGATAGCTACTGTTACGTGGCCACCTTCATCAATCCCTTTGGTCTGAAAGAGTGTTCTCAGATGACTGAGCAGAGGCCTGCCTCACGCCTGAGCTTCCTGGTGTTCGGAGACACTTGTGTAATGAAGACAAGTCCCAAACCTTCGCTGAACCGGGAGGGTGGGCGATACTGACATGGAAAACTGCAGCAGCCTACTTTTCCACTGTATCTGAGATCCCTGCACGGGGGCACAGTGGTTCTTGCTAACTTGCTCTGTCTCCCCTCCTTTTCCATACGGCTAAGATCCGATAGCTGTTGGACCTGATGGCCTTGTTCATCTGCAGCTGGGGGTACAGAGGGCTTCACTCTCTCTCAGGGGTGGTGGGGCAGTCATTCACAGAACCCAGCAACTTTCCAAACTTCCTGGGCACAGCACCACTCCCAGACATTTGCTTCCAACAGATTGGAATGCCATAGCCCTTCCTGCCTTCTGGGAATTGGCCACAGCCACACCAGAATCCTCTTTTCATCCTGATAGATTTATGTTCATGAAATTCAGATTCTGCCCGATTGTCGCAGTGTTGTTACCTGATAAAGTTGACAACTGGACTCTCATTGTCATAACTGAGGCTCCTCGTTGTAGGCCGATTGTCCCCTGTCTCATTTACATTTCCTCAGTATGAGTTCTCTTCTTGAGGGTGTTTTAAGCACACAAGACGGGAGGGTGGACCACTGAGCTAAGGATGTAGCTCTCCTTGCATCAGTAGCTTGCATCCTAGATGCAAGATACCCCACGAGTAACTGCTATAGGATGTCAGAGAGTTCAAAGGAAATGTGTTTAAATAAGGACTTAGGGTATTCTACTGACTGGTATAGCTATCTGGACCAAGGGTATATACCCTGTCTCTCCCCCCCCTTGGGACATCTAAGGATGGCATTAATTAAAACAAAAGAAAAACTCATAAACCAGGGGCTAAGATGAAAGACCCCTATTGTCAACCTATATCCATCTATGTCCATGTCTGCACTTTTAATTCCACAGGTTGAGTTACTTACATCAACTATGGTCTGAAAGTACTACATGGAGAATTCAAGAAATAACCAAAGTGTAATTTGAGATTGTTCAAAGCCCCAAGTAGCCTGGAGAACTCTTGAGCCCGCACCTACTCCTGTCCCCCCTGAAATGTGGCCCTTCTCTCTCTCCAGTGTAATCACGCTGTATGAACTATCCACCCGCTTGTGACTCTGCACCCCTATCGGTTATCAGAACGATTGCTTGGCGTCTGTGTTCAAGCAGCCCTTGCGTAATAGGCAAACTCAGCACATCCTGTGTTCAATTAGTCCTCAGGGGCGAGCCAGGCCCGGCTATTCACCTTCCCTTGTCCCTCCTCTGTCCTTCCCCCCACCCACTAACCATCATAGCCCCTGTTCCACATGGGTCCTCAGCTCACCGTACCTGGCCTTCCTGTTCAGGGTAGCAGCACCACAGCTGACTGAGCAACCCCATGGAAGCCTCGTCAGTCAATACCTCCCTGTTGGTTTTTAAAATGATCTTAGTCGCTTCTCACAAAAGAAGAGCCCCCTTGGGCTTCCGCAGGCTGTGCACGCTGCTGTCTGCAGGTTACCTCGACAAAGGAGAGCGGGATCTTTCCACTCCCTCTTAGGGCGTCAGGTGCAGGGAGGAGAGCAGACTGACTGGGTTTTCCTCACTGGATCCTAGGAAGTCAAATTTGTTGCAGTGGCCTCTGTACCTGCAGGGAATTATTTAGACACATCCACACCAATCCAGACGGCTCATGGTTTTCTGATTTATTATTCTGAGTTCTTCATCCACGTGCCCTCACCAACACCTCCCCAGTTGTTGCTAGCTGAGTCAGTCCTGCTCTCGGAACGTCTTCTTCTTGCTTTAAAATGCAGAAACCACAGTGGACAGGCATGCTCAGTAGTGAGCGGCTGGGTAATGACTTCCTTCTGGAACATCCTTCTCTGCCTGGCCTGCTCACAGCCTCTAGGGATCTTGAGAGCTACTAGGTGTCATCACGTCTGGGACCTCTGGGCTGGAGAGACTTCCAGGCTACCTCCAGAGAGCCAGCTCCACAGCACACCCCAAGTGGCTTATTCATGCAGAGGCCACACTGGTGTGCAGTGGCCATAAAACCCTGTGTAAGGTAGTGTGGGAAGAGAGAATGTTGTCAGGGAGACAGCCCTCCACAGTGAGATCTGTGCTTCCAGAATAGCCCTGGCCTCAGAGTAGAGAGAAGGACCAGGCTGGGAATTGATTTCTCTAGATTGAGAGGACCCTGGACAAGTTACAAATCACAGCCGACCACCACAGCCAGACCCTGCTGAGACTTGTCTCTGCCTGTGTGACTCACCCAGGCTCAGTCACAGAGCCTCTGAGATCACAGCCCAGCTACAGCTGGTTGCCTCAGAGTTCTGCAGGTTTTCAGAGAGCAGTTAGGACATATCTACTGACCTTCCATCACCTCTCCTTCACGTGGTATCATTTGCCAGACTCCCTAGGATGTGTGTGACCACCGTGGTACTGCAGCTGGCTCTGTGCAGAACTCACAGATGTGTTTATGGGGCTCTCGCAGCTCAAGCCATGGTGGGGTGGCCTTATGGGAGGGCCAACCACAGTATAAGGGATATAGTACAAAGTCTTGATTTGTTTGTAAAATCCCTGCTAAAGGGCCATGAAATGAAGACCCAGGAAGGATAATCTAACATCTATGTTCACTGGAAGGGTCCCTCCATCCACAGTCCTCCAGGCACTGTGGTCAGCCACCTTCTTAGCTGCTACCGTGTGCTGTTGAGAAACCTTATTAGTTCCTCGCCAGGATGACAACATGCTTGGGAAGGAAGGGCTTGTTTTAGGCATCTTTCCTTCATGCTGTGAAAGTCCTGGTGGTAGGAACATGAGGCAGCTGGTCACATGGCATTCACGTTCAGGAAGCAGAGGGGCTCAGCTCAGCCTGGGACTCATGTTTAGGGCTCTTCTTACTCAGCTGACCCAGTCTAGAAACCCCTACACAGCTGTGTCCAGAGCTGGGTTTCTGTGGTGATTCTAAATTCCATCAAGTTGACGATCACAGTGTGTCTCCCATACACCCGCAGTGTTACCTCTCAGAGCATGTCAGGTTTCAAGGAGCCAGCCAGCTTCCTAGAGTCAAGTCCACCAATCTAGAAGGTCATTGTGATCTTGACCTTTGGTCACTTTGGTCTTGACATGGAGCTGTATTGTGGGTAACAATTTAAAGTGGTTTTATCTATGTATTTACAGGCAGAAAACCCACAAAGATGTCTCACCTGGCGGGATAGGGGGTTGCTACGTCCTAACCAGCTTTAGAACTTAGGTTGTCAAGGCCAGAGGGAAGCCTGGTGTGGAGGAAGTAACATTGCTGGAGTATGTCACTTCCTAGGGCAGAATGACTGTGATGTAGGCTAGGGGTTTGGAGAACTGTCTCGACAATGGCTTGGCTTCAAGTGCAGGAGGAAGAGTCTGGACCTGGCAACAGGAGAATACTGTGTTGGTTTTATGCCAGCTTGAGAGGAACAAGAGTCATTTTGGGAGAGGGAGATTGGCCTGTAGGGCATTTTTTCAATTGGTGGTTGATGCAAGAGGGCCTAGCTCACTGTGGGTGGTGCGACCCCTGGGCTGGTGGCCCTAGGAGCTGTATCAAAAAACCATGGTTAGTTAGCAAGCCATGAAGAATAAGCCAGTCAGTAGCACGCCTCTGTGGCTTTCCTTCCTCTGGGTTCCAGCCTTGAGGCCTGGCCCTGACTTCCCTGCATGATGGACAGAGAGCTGTGAAGCAAGACAGACCCTTTCTCCCCAGGTTGTTTTCAGTCACAGCAATAGAAATACCAAGACAGAAGCAAACCTCAGCCTCAGTTCTCCCGCCCTCTCACATGAAGCATTCTTTCTGCGCTTCCTTCGTAGACCCGGTACCTCTCCCCGCAAGCTCGCTGCCGGCTGCACGCTCTGCTTGCCTCTTGCTCGACCTCCATGCTGATCCTGTTCAACCTGGTGTTTCTCGGGGGGATTCAAGTTGGCAAAACCTACTGTGACAGGATCTTCCTGCAAGGTAAGCGCAGCTCTGCTTGATGTCACATTGTCATCTCCTTTGCATTTGGGTGCTACTGTTGACGTGGGAGCCTTGGAAGAGGCATGCATATGACACCGGCAAGGTGTCAGCTGGGAATGGCTTCTGTTCCATGGTGACTGCGGCATTACCTGTTTGTGGCACCTCAAATTGGCTGCCCATGATGCTTGACATCCAGCTCTCCTGCCCCCTCCATGTTCTTCCTCTTTTGTTTCCAATGTTGTGACTCCTTCTGGCACTTCCGCGCTGTTTCTAGATGCCAAGCTTCAGTGAGCCATGAAGTCTAATGTAGTCTAACATTGTTGCATTGATGCTCTGAATTTCTGTTAGCAACGTTCCTGAGTGTCCCCTGTGCTGTTCTGGAGCTGTGAGCCTGGGTCTGGCGTCCACCTCTGGACCTGGACTTTTGTCTCTGTGTGCTTCTGTGTGTAGGCACATGTGTGCCATGGCCTATGTGCACAAGAGGTCAGAGCACAACGTTGTGGGGTAGTTTCTTCTACCTTTTCACGGTCCCAGGAATCAAACTCAAGTCTCCAAACTTGCCCAGCAAGCTCCTTTTACCCATTGACTCATCTCGTTGGCCCCAACTGTGAGTTAATCTTTTGTTTCCTGTCCACTGAGTGGGCTGCCTCAGCGTCCACAGCAGGTGGACTTGAAGGTAGTGGTCATTACCGCTGGTCACCACTGGGACTTCTAAAAGGTGAGAACAGACTCTCCACTGAGTCTAGCCCTGGAGCTGCTTACCGCGCTTCCAAAGAAAGGATTCCCTCTGTCCCACTTGCGCCACCCCTGATTGGGTCTGGGGAGTCCTGCTGAGCAGCGTCAGTGAAACCGGACATGGCTGGCCATCATCTCTGCACCAGGGTCCCCAAGGAGCCAGAGATATTTTTGCTGCAGCTCTCTTTACATGCCGGATACAACTTCCAGATGCCTGATATTAGTCACGCATGTAGACAGACTGTGTGACTCAGTGGGCTCACTCTGTCCCATTTGACTTTAATATACTTTCTGAGCATTCAGCTCATGTCCGATACAGAACCTGGCACATTGGTGAGAACATGAAGACTCGGGGTGGGGATGGGAATGCTGGCCTTGGCATCCTTGTTACCTAATGAGAAGGCTCTGACTTCCTCCTCGGTAAATCAAATATATCAGGTGTCTGCTATTTACAAAACACTGAGGACACTGATGGATGTGGTGACTCCATCCAAAATCCTAGCACTTAGGAGGTTGAGGAAGAATGTTTCAGAGTGTGAGGCCCAGCTGAGCCACACAGGGAGACCCTGTATCCAGTGGAGAGGTGGAAGAACGAAAACACAGGTGATAAATAGGGACGCCAAATACAATAGTTTCCACATGACGCTTGACTGGGGTGGCTGCTGTGCTGAATGGGGCAGAGAGCAGTAGAGCGAGGTTTTCAATGCTGTTCCCTGCCCTCTGAATACATACAGAACATTTGCATGCTCACATATGTGCCCACCCTACCGCCCTACACTAAGCAGTAATTCTAGGAATTAGAATGTTTGATGTCTTAGCATTGGGGAAGAGAGAGACTGTGAGGCCTGTACACCAGATACTAAATACCTTAGTGACATGTGGCACGTCTGTTCATGTCCCATTGGCCAGAATCGCTCGTGTTATACTCCCGCGTGCCGGGCTGGTTTGGCATGTATGGGTCATCTGTGTCACACGGTTGGTCACCCAGCTGGAGACGTCCCAGGGGCTGTGCAAACCTGGGTTTGCAGAACAGGGAGGACTAGTGATTAATGTGTGAAAGTCAGGCGTGCAGAGCTGATCGTCAAGGCCATGGGAGTGGACTCAGAGAGCCAGGGGCTGCCTGGAGTAAGAAGTTGGGGAAGACCTGGGGCATGTTGGTGCCGAAGAGGGCAGAGCAGCATCTGCAACGTGCTCTTGCTGCTCCTGGGTGGCAGGAGGCTCACCACACTGCTTGCCTGGCACCCTGCAGCTCTGCCAGTACGTGGGGCCAGCACTTTGTGTCCTGTTGTCTGTGATAGCACATAGTGTTTCTGCCCTCCTTGGACTCGGGGACTCTGATTCTTCACACAAGACCCTGTGACGTCATTTCTCTTTGGGGCTCTGAGGTCAGGGGCTCTCCAGACAGGCCTGCCTGTTTTCCTGTGCTGCTGGAGCCAAGGAATGTCTGCTGGGGTCTTGTCAGTTGTTCCTTGGTTTGCCGTGTCCTTGTCGAGGGTTTGCTGTGTCCTTGTTGAGGGTTTTTGGCTTGAATTTCTGAGTTTAGCTCTCCCGTGGAGGGAAGTGATCGAGATGGTGCCAAATCTCCCATTCTGGTGAGCCTGGCTGTCTTACAATTTAGATGGACCTGATTGCAATGGTGGTGATAAATATTCATGTCTAGGTACAAGAAATAATTAATGAGTTGGTAGTATGCATCCTCAGGCCCCACTGGGAGTGTTACTAGAACGGAATTCTAAAACGGAAAATGAAAATGTGAATTCTAAAATCACCTGGGCCCCAGAAGGGTCCTGTTGTCCTGTACGCGTAGGTGCCCATGGGTGTGTCAGCATTCTGGCAGCCCGACCGTGTCTGACCTCTGCCTTTGGGTATACAATCAGTTCCTGTTGCTCTAAGGCTCATCTCTGCACATGGAGGTCGTGATGAAGACGTCTCCAGAGAATGGAGCATCTTCAAGCTTAGCATCTAACTTCAGGGTTTAATAGAAGTCCCTAGCCTCTGTGTTGTGATGGCTTAGGTATTGCTGCAGAGACAGAACTGCCAAGTCATCCTCAGAGATCCTAATTCAAGGAGTCAAGCCGCACAGGGAGGGGACAGACAGGTGCCTGGGGGACAGGGGCTATTGCAGGTTTGCAAGCGTCATTGTCTTAGTTACTTTTCTGTTGGTAAAATGGCAGACAACTTAAGGGAGAAAGGGCCGATCCCACACACAGGTGTAGTTGATTTTGGTCGGAAGTCAGAGAGGCGGGAACTTGAGGCAGCTGGCCGCATTGCAGTCAAGAAGCGGAGAGAGATGAGTGCTTGTATTCAGACTGTGACCTCCCGTTTATGAAGTCCAGGACCCCAGCCCATGGGGACAGTGCTGCCCTTCTTTAGGATGGGTCTTCCCAAATTAGCATAATTACCTTAGTCCTTCCCAGGCATGCCAGAGGCTAACCTATTCTAGAGAGTCCTTCACAAGTATGAAAGCTTGCCTCCCAGCTGCTCCCAGATCCTATCCAGCTGATACTAAACAGTAACCATGGCTGTTGTGTGACTTTCCCTGGGAAGAGAGGAGCAAATGTCTGTTCGCCCCAGATACGACTTGATAATCGACTGAGGAAATAATGCCACCCAGGTCTCGCTTAGTGAGCCCGAGTTCAATGCTGCTCCTTATGGCGTGAGGGGGAGACACAAAGGCAGCTGCATCCCTGGAAAGCACACGGATGACTCAAAAGGCTGCAACCCTGGAGTGTTGTACTTGCAGGCAGCTACACAGAAGTGTCTCCTCCCACCATCCACGGACTGTTCTTCTGTCATCTTGGGGAGGGGCTTCATGGCTCCTAACCTTCTAGCTTCCTAAACCCTCTAGGTTCCTGGCTCTGGAGTCCTAGGTCCCTCCCTCTAGGAGGGAGAGTTGCGCTTCCAAGTTAGCTACATATGTCTCTCAGCAAATCAGGTATCAGTGCACACACAGACAAGCTCGCTAATTCTGCAGGGTATGGAAACTGCCGGTGCACAGCCACCAAACCTAAGGGAGACCGGTACACCCAGATGCATGCTTGCTAGTTCTTTCCAAGTATCTCATGGGGTAGCATGGAAGACTGACCCCAAAGTCAGGACCTCTCTGTCTCCAGTGCAGTAAACTCAGCTATGGCTGGCTCTGCTTTAAGCTGTCAAGTTCACCATAGCAGCCTCATTCCTGGACTCTGGGTGAGAGAGGGGGCTGCAGGACTGGGTCCTTTTTTCCCTGGTGTGCACCTCCCCCACCCTGATGAAGAATGGAAAACAGACATGCCCAGTTTTAAAAAAAAAAACAAAACAAAACTGGGGCTCTGGGGTGTGTCATTCATGTACTTTTTTTTTTTTTTTTTTTTGGTGTTTCGAGACAGGGTTTCTCTGTAGCTTTGGTGCCTGTCCCGGAACTAGCTCTTATAGACCAGGCTGGCCTCGAACTCCCAGAGATCCGCCTGCCTCTGCCTCCCGAGTGCTGGGATTAAAGGCGTGCGCCACCACTGCCCAGCTGTAACATTTTTTTTTTAACAGCAAGGCTCACCTCTTTCGCTGAGATAGTTCAGCAGAGAGAAAGGAATCTGTCTTCACTCTTAAAAAACAAACCTACAAATATTTGCCATTTAAACATGCTTCACGCTCCTTGAAGTTTTGAAGTTTTATGGGACTAAGAAGGATGTGGCTGGGGTCTGGGTCTCCTGTGTGCTCTAGGATGAACTACACTGAGTTGTGCTCCACAGAGACAAGTGCAAAGTGCTGTGCATGTCACCTTTGTCCCCAAAAGCTTAGTCATGGTGATGCCTCAACCTTCCACATTGATGTGTGATTTCCTTGGCAGGCATTGTTGAGTTCTGTTCTGTAAGGAGATCAATGAGACAGAACTCTGTCTTGTGACTTTTTCTAAGGAGGTGTGCACAAACATCTGCCCACACACATAGGGTACTCACACACCAAAGAAAGGACTCCATCCAATGTCCCTGGGTGAGCTGATGAGTTTTGGACTGGGACAGCTGCAGTGCTAGTCACGTAATCCACACATGAATGCACCTGCACACAGATCCCACCAACATTAGCCTCACTCCTAGGCATGCACATACAGGTATGCATGCACATATGTATGCACTTCCCACATACTTACACACACATATACATACATGCACCCAATACACACATACCTACATGCAGACCACCCCAACATTCTTCTATCTGACTCCTTGCATAACTGCATTTGTGTGCCATGTACACTCATGTGCACAACGCACACATACATGCACCCA